GTGGAAGCTCAGAGATTTTCAGTCTTTTTTTCCATATTAAAAATGGAAAATGGTATCCTGAGCTACAGCATCACTAGTTCTAAGAAACTAGCCTTTTCACAATGTTTGACAAAATTTCCTATAATACTATGTTAAACTATAGAATATTTAAAGGTAAAGATTTCCACTGTCTATTTGTTTCTGACTCTAGGGAGCAGTGCTCATCTCTGTTTCTTGAGGGAGGGAGGCAGCATTGTCCAAAGACATGTGGCCAGCATGACTGTATGCCTAGCTGCATGGAACATTGTTACCTTCACACAGAAGTGGTGCCTATTTATCTACTCACATTTGCATGTTTCAAACTGTTATGTGGGCATGACCTGGGGCAAGAAGAGTGCTCAGGCCATCATGCGGTACTCGGGTTTTGAACTTTGCAGTTGACAAATCACTGAACCATTGCATCCCCAATTCTTTAATTAAGATGTTAAAAAGTTTGTTTCTAATGACTTAATGTCAACCTGGAAAGACATTTTGAGACTTATAGGGCTGTCCTAAGCTCTCTGGGGTTTAATTATCTGTAATATTTGGTGTCTTTCCTTGAGAACTCAATATGTTATATCCAAAGGTCTGTCCTAATTTTATTCCTACATCAGTCCTGTGAAGTAGGTTGTTCTGAGAAAGATTAGTTGACTGAAAGTTATATATTGAGCTCTCTGGTGAGACTTAAATTTGATTTAAGTCCAACATCTAAAAGCTTCAGAACATTAACATTTATAAATTATTTACACAAGAAAATAAAATAACCTTACTGTCTGGCGAGAGGGAAAGCAATTCCATGAAAGTTATAAAAAAGATCAAAATATTCCCAATAGGCTGAAAAATATGGAAGCAACCACTCAATATGATGACATTCAAGAGGAAATGCAGTCTTAGGTCCAAACAGAAAGATTAAAAACATGTAATAGGGGAATTCAGCTTTGGAAATAGTACAACTATGAAATGCCTAAGAATTTATGTTGATCGCATAATTGAATAAAATTTTATTAAAATAGTTATTTTAATCTTAAAGTATTGCCATATGAAGTTTGGGTTGCTTTGGGATTTGCTGTGTTCCCCACCTTCAGAAACGCAGCACAACAGGAATTGCTCTGAAGCTGGGTTTTAACTGGAAAAACCAGAGCATTGTGGGATTCTTGTCTAAGTCCAGCTTCCCAATTCTTGAATTTCTGTACTTTAGCAGGTCCTGTAAGAAGAATGTTGACTTGACAGCTTCCTAGTTCCCAATCAATCCAGGCAAATAATTCTTAATGAAACTGGCAAGTTCTCAGTTCCCTTCTACACTGGGGCAGTCACTCAGAAAGCCCCAGATTACTACAGGTAGTCTTTCACTTATGGCCACAATTGAGCCCAAAATTTATGTTGGTAAGCAAGACAACTGTTAAGTGAGTTTATCCCATTTTGCAAACTTTCTTGCCAAAGTTATAAGTGAATCACTGCAGGTATTAAACTAGTAAAACAATAGTTGAATAAATCTTATTTCCACGTTGACTTCGCTTGTCAAAAAGTTGCAAAAGATGACCACATGACCCTGCATCCTTCATATGAGTCAGTTGCTAAACATCTGAATTTTAATCACATGACCATGGAGATGCCGAAATGGTTGTGTGAAAAACGGTCATTTTCTGGAGAACCAGTAGCGGAAATTTTGAGTAGTTCAGAGAACAGGCAAATATCACCTCTGACTGGAGATATTACAGTATCCTTCCCCTGCCACGCCCAACAAGCCACCCCCACAGAACTGGTACTTAAAAAAAAAAAGAATCCCACCACTGCTTCAAGTGGTCACTAAACAAACTGTTACAAGTTGAGAACTACCTGTATAGTTTTTAGTATTTCTTTTGTGACCATGTAGGAATTTTCATGCTGCCATCCTTGCAGCAACTCGAGCAGTTGTTGTTTTTTTCACCTTGATAGTGTTTCTGAACAGGAAATTGTGAAGATTTGCTGATCATTATCAAGTGGTTTGAAGTGGCATGTGAAAGTGCTGTTAGAAGGCATTCAACAGGATATATTTCCAGGGCAGAATGCATACCAGCCAAGGTTCCAAGTAAGGAAAGACTACTTGAAGTCTGATGCTGATCTCCAGAATTACACCTTCTCTATACATTGAACGGAGAAGCCAGCTAGGCATCATATATGCATGAACATAAATATACTTTTGATTGGGAATCCTGAAAATACCCATTTCCATTTCATTCCAAATCTTTTTATTCAACAGGGGAATCGAATATAGACAGAGCAGAGCGGAGCTGCACATTACTTATTTTGTCATTCCTAAATATGGCTACAGTTATGCACTGTTCCCCACTGGTTAAGTCAGGCTATAACTACAGGTAGTCCTTGACTCACGATCACAATTGACCCCCAAATTTCAAAATGAACTGTTGAAAGTCGAGGACTACCTAGTTCAAGGCATTAGATTTTAAAGCAGATTCTGACAAACTGGAATATTCTGAAATAACAGTGACCAAGATGGCGAGGGATCTGGAAGCTTGTAGAAGAAATATGGGAAAGAGGTGGCATGCTTGCTTGTTTTTTATCCCACTTTTATTATTTTTATAAATATTTTCTCCAATCCCGGCCATATACTACCTCTTCCCACCTCCTGATGTGAGGCAGGAGGCTTGAGAGAAAGCACCTGGTCTGGGCACACAGCCCTCCACGACAGAGGCCTTCATGGGGAGCAAAGCCTTGGACAACCTGATCTGTCCCAAAAGCCTCAAAAGAGCTCCAGACTTTCCATGTGCCTCCTCTAGCCAGTGCCTGGTGGCAGCAGCAGTACTCCAAGGGAGCCCCAGTGTCACATCTCCCCCATGAGGGCCACCTGCCCATTCACTAGCTAGGCTGGCTTGGAAGCAGTGCGTCTCCCCCATCACAGGCTGATGTGGGACTCAAGGAGGGGAAGATGAGTGGGCGGCAATTGCCCAGAGGCCCTGTGGAAGTTGAGCACACCAGGCCCAAAAGGCGAGTGAGCCTCCCTGCTGCCAGTGTCGGCCTTACCTTCCAGAGCTTCTGGGCCTTGCTCTCAAGACTAACCCAGGCAGATCAGGGCTACTCAGTTTGGCTGCAGGGCGAGCACCGCGTGGGAAGGCAGGCAAGCTGGGCCACGTGGGAGGCAGCTAGGCCAGGATTTGGGCCTTGCTCACAGGCTCACCCAGGCAGATCAGGGCTGAGCTGTGCAGGGAATGCTGCATGGGATGCAGTGGTGGCGGCGAAGACAGGCAAGCTGGCTGGCCCACAGAGTGGCTAAGGAAAGCGAGGGAGCCAGCCAAAGAGAAAATCCACTGCAGCTTGTTCTTATCACAACTTGCCAGTCACACAGCTCAGGCAGCTGTTACCAACATAATGTTCTCCAAGTGCAGCTCAAGATTTGGCAGGTGAAGGTTCCTACCATGCATGTGTGTGCACACCCACCCACCACCAATCCATCATTCACTTGTGCAGAAACTCCTACTCAGAGACACAGCTGTTAGTATTTAGGACTAGCATGAACAATCTCTATGGGTCATATCCCTTCCTTTAGAGATTTGCACGCAACTAATTGAAACTTCCAATAAGAACGGAATTTCTTTTTCAAGAAAGCAAGCTCCAAAGCAAGCTCCGAACCGGTAGGAAAAATTTTGAACCACACCACTGCTTTCAACCTTTGCCTTTGGTTTTATGCTACCCATCATTGCTCTTTTTGGAAATTGAAGTCTTAAGCAGCAAAGGGAAAAAGTTCCTAAACCCTAATTTTAATTAATACTGTTGAAAATCTGCTGTTCCACAATTGAAAGAATTTTGCTTTTCTTAGGAAGTAAAGAGGCAGCAAATAATTGCGAACGAACATGGGTTGGCAAACTTGTAGTCATTTCAGAGTGAAAATTGAATATGCTATGGTTAGAGTCAAGGAAAGCAGTCTTGTAAGGAAGAACTTACCTTTAATAAGCTCTTTGGGGGATTAGGGGAGGCAGTTTGTATATTAAAATTACTCCTTGGCTAAATGTTGATAACTTGGTATCTAAATTCAATATTATTTAACCTGTTCCTTCCTCCATACTACAGCACTTGGTAACTGACATCCCATAAAATTATGATTAAAAGAAGCACCGTTGTCTCATCCCTTCTTCCCTACCATTAGAGTAGTACCATCAGGTCTCTACATGAGTGTTGAAGTTTCTTTTGTAAACCTCTTTTTCTTAAGTGTAAGAAACAGTTCTACTGTATGTCTGAGGACATCACTCCCAGATTCTATTTGTTGTGGCAAATGAAGACCTTGCCGAGGGGCCACTTTTCGCACAATTGTACTGTGGTTCACTGTGACCTGAGATAACCTATGTCAAAATCCCAAACCACACCAAGCCATAAAAAAGAGGAATGCCCAAACACCAGCTGCTGTGCAGCTTTGGCATACAAGGCCAAGACAATAGAGCTGCTGTATTCAAATTCCCGCATAGAAACAACTGGGCCTTTGGGCGCAGGGAGACAAGAAACACAGGCAACCCGTGTTAATTCTGCCTATGAATGATTCCCATAGACCAGAGAAACAGTGGCAGCAAGCCTGTCATTCCTGACGAAGAAAGTCATCCATAGTAGTTCATGGCACAAGGAGATTGCAGAATTTCTGTCTTGTGAATCTTCACTCCTGAGGTGTGAAGTAGTTTTTCATTTCATGGGAGATCAGGACAGTATTTTTCAAAGTTGGCAACTTTAAGCTATATGGACTTCACTTCCAGAATCCCCTGCTAGCATGAGAAATTCTGTGGGTTCCCCATTGCCAACACCTGTCAATGATGGCTAGGAAATTCTGTAGCAGCACTAATTCAAAATGAATGTCCCATATGTCTATCTCAAGAACTTACATCATTAAAGCTTTAGGGTCCTTCACTTGTTCAAAAGAAATCCCTTTTTATGTTATATTTGATGAGAAGGTCCTGATCGTTTTGTTCTACTACTGGTAGAATTTTATGAAAGCTTGCAGCTTGAATTTCCCCCAGTCCAATGTAATCAAAAACAGTTTATAAATCTCTGCTCTGGATGCACCAGGCCTTCATCAGAGTCCTTAGAACCAGTTGAATACTGCAGTAGGTATAATACAGAAAGCTACCGGTTTCTGACTGAGCAAGGGTATCTCTAGTCAACAGAACGGTTATCTTCCCTTCCTGTTCTGCCTTTGCCTATACATTAGAAGGAGGTCAAACTCTCTGTAAGCAATCTTTCTAACTGCATTAAAAAAATGTTTCATGCAATGTGTATTAAATTTCTATCCTGACTTTAAGAAACTCAAGATAGAACACATGGCTGTCCTCCACAAATACAACCCTATGAGGTGGCTTGCGCTTACACTTATTTCTTTTCTTCTGAGCTGACAGTTAGCAGCTCTTATTTTGCTCCACTGATTGACAGGGTTCTTAATGAAGTCCAGGGTCCTTTGTTTTGTTCTCTCACATAGACACATGGCCTTGCCACATCAATCCCACTTGAGAGGAATTCATATGGGTCTACTCCCAAACCTTTAAAACTTATGTTTTGCTTCTTGATGTCCCAAAGCAACATAAGGAGACTTCAGTTGCCAACAATTCGAGGTAAAGAACGATGCAGCCATGGTCATGGCAGACTATCTAGTCTCCCAAATTTGCAGAGACAAAAAGGTGTCATATAAGACAAGTGAAGACCAAAGCAGCTATTATTGAAAACAAAGGCTCCAGTGGACACAATTGTTGAGTTTTCTAGATTTCACCCTTGGTAGAGATAATGAAAACCATCTCTTCCAAAAGTGCTACTTTCTTGGCAATTATCTCTGGTAATATCTCTTCCAGAAATGTGCCAAGTAGTGAAGTGACCTGTCAAATGTCTATGGAGATTCTCAGTTATGCAGATCATGGTGGTCTCAAAGGTGCTTTTTCAAAAGGCAACTGGACATTGTTTTTCATTGAAGACATTTCACATCTCATCCAAGAGGCTTCTTTAGTTCTGAAGAAATGGTGGTGAATGATTACAGTCCTCATGGCACAACATCCTTGTGCCATGATGTCTGCAAGGAATATAAATATAAATCCTTCTAGTTTCCACTCTTCAGTCAGAACTGAAGAAGTTTCTTGGATCAGATGTGGAACATCCTCAAGAAAAAAAACAGAAAGTCCCGCTGCCTTTTGAAAAAGCACTTTTGGGACAAAATGACCTGCCAGTTACTCCAGAGTGTCAAGTGCACTGTTGCCCAGAACTATCAGCCCTCATCCGCCTCATCCTAATTGATCTGATTTTTCATCTAAAATGACCACAATTTCCTCTGATTCTTCTGCAATTCTTTTATTCCATGACTGCCCTCAAACATGAGCACATATATACATGTGCACACACACTGTGGGCATGGACTGAGTGACACACCCTACAGCCCCCAAAAGTGTCAGACACTTGGGGTGTCTGGACATCTACACATTTGAAACTAATTGTGAAATAATAACCCTTTAAGAAGATTTGAAGTATTTATCACCACCAGTACTTCTCACAGGGAAGTGTTCCTTTCTTTGGAAGATGTCTACAACCTGAGCATTTTTTGTGTGTGTTTTGTGCAACCATGGGTCATCTAGATGCTTTTGCACTGTGCTGAGTATTTGCAGTTTCAGGAAGATCCCTCCCAACTCAGCTTCTAGACAGGCCTTAGTTTGTTCTGACCTACATCCTGGGGAATGTGGCCATCAGTGCAGAGACCTTCCATTCCCAGTTACTACCCAAAGTGATATGGACAGGCAGTGCTGTATTTCAGCCCCTCTGCAGTTGTGCCCACCCTCACATCACCAAGCAGCTCTTGGCCCGGTCTTTACGGATCTCAGGGTCAGTCAATAAATCTGTCCGTCCCGGCATCTGAGTAAACCGCTTCAGTCCTCGCTTTGAGTTGCTGTGCTTGAAGTGCTTATGCATCCGATTGATTGAGGCCAGTGTGGTCACATGGAAAACATCCCGCACACTATTCTCTGACACCTTGGAAGAGCATTCTACATATGCCGCAGCACCCAACTGCCGGGCCAGCATGCTGCCCTGTAAGGGGAAAACACACTGTTGCATTATGCCAGAATTCACTCACAGCCTTTTGCTTTCTTCCACCCCTCCACCCCCATTCTGGTAATTGCTTATTATATTGCAATCACTTCACATCTCCTCCCCCACATTCTGACAAGTACCTATCACTTCCCCAGACACTGTTATTCCACGTGTTTCATTTAAATCACAGCTTTTTAATTAATTTTAGTCCTTCTCCTGAAGGAAGGGACACAGGAGCGTCTTTTAAAAATGGAGCGAGAGGGGCTGCGTCTAAAAGAGGGAGGATGCAAAACATGCTAGGATCTATGAATGCCAAGGTGGGAAAGGAGGTTAAAAATAAGCTATCCCAGCTTCCCATATTGGAAGGTTGCAACTGGGATAAGGAGCAGAAGATTCTGCTGGTGGAATTAGCAGCAAAGGAGCCTCTGGCCCCAGAACTTCCTTCTGTTGCGTTCAAATCGGGGCGTTGTTGTTTCTTCTTTCTCCTCTTTGCATCAGTTATTTCAGGGAGCTTTTGAATGCACACGGGGCTTTACTCATCGAGGCCATGCTCAGGGCCATGCTCCTCTGCACAGATAAGGCAAGGCAGATTTGCAGTATGGCTTTAAAAGGCATCAAGAGAAATTCAGGGAACATACCAGCTCAGGCAAATACAAAATTCATCTAAAATTAAAGCTGGAGATGTACTTATTAATAGTTTTTAGCCTGTGCATCTGCTTGAGTCAGAGTGGATCAGTTCTTTAGGCTACTCTGCAGTTATTTACTGCTAAAAGGCACTTTTGTGTATATGCATAAAAGGGAAAGGGAAAAAAATAATCAGAATATACATGTGCATAGTCATCTGTGGGGAGGCCCAAGGAGAGCATGATGTAATGCAAGCATCACAGCTAATATCAGCTAAAGTCAGGTAGATTGTTAGATGTCATATGCAAATACAGGTAGTCCTCAACTGACAGCTGGTCCACAGATCCAAAAAAGATATTTACAACCTGGATTCAAAGTTTTGAAAGCTGCCCCCCACTTGCAGTCATTTAATCATGTTTTAGGCGCTTAGTAACTAGCCTAAATTAGTTTGCAGCATCCTGTAATCATGTGGCCATGATTTACCATGTTATTTGCCAGAAACTTGTTTTTATTTCTGGTTTCTGGCAAGAAACACCCATTGAAAAAAAAAGGGTTTATATAATGACTATGACCACTACATTCACTTAAGAACTGCTGCAGAAAAGGTAGTAAAATTGGACATAGTCATATGATGACCATACTTCACCGGCACAACTTCTAAACATAAATGCAATTCTGGGCTCCATTTTGGTCATAAATCAAGGACTACCTGTACATAATTGTGGCATTTGCATAATGATGTAATCACACACATATCATTTTGGCATTAAGATGGTTTGTCCAAATGCTGCTACACTGCACACAAGTGTGTAAATCATTAAGGCAGGAAAGGACTTGCTTTTTTCCTTTACAACCTTGGCTTCATGCTTATTTTAAGCATTTATCCCATCACATGCTTATTAGCAAAATAAGCATGTGACGGGATCCAATGCAGCTCCTGGCATCTCTTTAATACATGGTACTGGACCTCAACCCTGCATGCTCCCACATTGGGGGACATCTCATTCTGAGATTAACTGTAGTTCAATATATTTAATAATGTATTTAAATGTTTAAAAAGGCCCTCAAGATAAATAAGAAAAAAAAGAAGACAAAAGGAAAGAGGACAGGACAGGAAAGGAAAGGAAAAGGGACACAATTAAAATGAAAGCACTGAAATACCAAAGCAATAGAAATCCAAATCAAAATATGGAGCAAAATTAGAACTGTAAAATATAAAATATGGAAAAAAGCCCAGCATCAATTAAAATCCATGCCTTAAGGCAAGATTAGGCTGCCCAAATTACAGGTAGTCCTCAACTTAAGACTTGCAATTGAGCCCAACATTTCTGTTGTTAAGTGAGACATTTGTTAAGTGAGTTTTGCCCCTTGTTACATTTCTTACCACAGTTGTTTAGTGAATCACTGATAAGTTAGAAACCCGGTTGTTAAATGAATCTGGCTTCCTTACTGACTTTGCTTGTCAGAAGGTCGCAAAATGTGACCACATGATCCCAGGACATTGCAACCATCATAAGTATGAGTCAAGTGGCCAAGCACCTGAATTTTGTTCATATAACCAAGGGGATGCTGCAAAGGTTGTAATTGTTAAAAATGGCTGTAAGTCACTTTATTCAGTGCCATTGTAACTTTAAACAGTCACTAAACAATCTGTTGTAAGTCAAGAACTACCTATATTATTACTATTTAGCTAGGGGGAAAATTAATACTTGGCAATTCTTTCATGAAAAGTTGTTCCATAGAGACACCACAAAAATGATCTGATCTCTTGAGTCAGTCTGATTAATCTTATCAGAAAACCTACCTACTATCAGAATTGGCCCAGATTAAGCCCCAAATTTCCTGACATATCTGTGCATGGGGGATGTGTGTCAGTTCCTTGCGGCCTCACTCCCTTCGCCCCATGGCAACAAACTGAGATTTAGCCAAGGGTAACCCATTACTTTAAATAAAGGCAAAATAAACACCTGCTCATGTGTAACAGGGATAAGGCGCTGTTTGGAGAGTTCCCGTAAAGTATTCAAGTCTGTGCGCATGTCCAGTTTGCAGCCCACCAAAACTACTTTGGCACCAGGGCAGAATTCTTGTATCTCTCCCTGCCACTATAAGAGAGAAAAATATAAAGAGTTAAATTAAAAATGATTTAATATAATTAGGCAAGGCCATTGGCTCAATTATCCCACTTCATGCCCATATCACACCTTTTTTTAACCCCATACCTATGTTTCCAATACAAAAATGGAGATGCTAATGATTAGGAACCTGACCTCTTCACAAGCAACAAAACAATAATAATGATTTCTATGATGCGAGGTTCTGTACACACATAGTCCTCCACATACAACCACAACTGGGGCCATAATGTCCATTGCTGAACAAAGTTGTTATTAAATCACATTAAGTCACATCTAATGTTATTACTTTTTTGCCATTGTTTTTAAACAAATCATTGCTGTTAAGTGGTGCAGTCAAGGAGACCTGGCTTCCCCCATTGACTTGGTTTGTCAGAAAGTGGTTGGGAGGTTCACAAATGGCAATCACATGGCCCTGGGACACTGCAACCATTGTAAATACATACTGGATACCAAGTGCCAGAATTCTGATCACATGACCAAAGGGATACTGTCAGTTCTGTAAGCCACTTTTTTTCAGTGCTGTTGTAACTTTAGTAAGGGTCACTAAATGAGTGTCTATAAGGACTACCTATATCTGATGTAGAGAACCACCATTCTGGTCATGAGAAACATAAAATTTGTCAACATGTGCAAAAACTCAGGATGCTTTCCTTAAATTAGACTACAAGGTTTGAGGTAGAGACATGCTTTGTTTCTATCTATGTATCTATGTATCTATGTTTCTGTCTGTCTGTCTGTCTGTCTGTCTGTCTGTCTGTCTGTCTGTCTGCCTACCTACCTACCTACCTACCTACCTACCAAAAATAGTTTATGGCAATCCTCCTTGAGTGGATTTATTAGTGCTATTTTTCCAATGGCATTTTCTCTTTTCATATTTCTGTTTCACATTTTGGTAATTTTGCAATATTTCAATTTTTCATTATTAATTAGATGCTTAGCGTTTCTAGCAATAGACTATTTTTAAGCTATAGTGATACTCTTGTGCTTTTGAAGGAGAGCTCCTCTTTGTCTGCAGGCAATAGACAAACCTATTTTCCCAAAATAAAACAAGCTCTTCTTAGCTTTACCATCACATCTTCATATTTCCCTTTAGTAGCACTTTTAGCAACCTCACCTTTTTAAGGACACTGTCCAGAGTTTCAGGACGGCTAATGTCAAAACAGATAAGAACAGCATCTGAATCTGGATAGGCAAGGGGGCGGACATTGTCATAGTATGTTGAGCCTGCATGAGAAAGACACAATTTTACCTTAATTATATGGCTAAACACGATATTTGTATGTTGTATAGCATATAGGGTAGGGTTTTTTTTTTTCAGTCTGAGCATCACATTTTCTTAAAAGTTCCATGAATCACATGCCAGAAAAGGCAGGTTTAGAAATATCACACCCTCTCTCTCACCAACCCTGTTCATCCTCATTCATATTCTGATTTCCCTTGCCTGCCTTCTTCCTCATCCCCTACGTCTCCTTTGTTATCAATGTTCTCTATATTTCATTTCATTCTATCTTCAGCTCCAGCTGTTTCTCTCTCCTTCTGGATTGCACCCTCAGTCAACATTTGAAATAAACACATACCAAACACTGGTGTGGCCATTATGTAATCCTAGGTATCAAAATTCAGATTTGAAGTTGAGAGTTGCATATTCAGGAATATGAATGTTTGGCAACCTTAGCATCAGTGTGTGTGTGTCCATGTGTGTATGCACACCTTCAAGTCAGTTTTTGTCTCCTGATGACTGTCTAGGCAAATTCCAGAAGTTTCCTTGGCAAGATTTCAGAAATGGCTTGCTACGGTCCCCTTCCTAGGCCAGAGATAGAGTGATTGGCTCAAGTTCACCCAGCTGCCCCTTTGCAGGTTAAAATTCAGTGTTTCTCGGTTTCTGGCCTGGTGCCTTCACAACTGTATTAAAATCTAGCATCATTTAGCAGCATTAGCTAAAATACTGGCAATCTAGTTGGTAGTAGAAAGGCCAAAACACTCAAGAAAAAGGCAACAAAATCCAGATTTCATTTCTCTTGAATGAAAGGGAGCCTTCTTACTTCCTGCCTAGGTTCCTAAAAAGGTTATGAAGGAAGAAAAGGAAAGTAGACAAATAGGCTTTTTTTGTCTTGAAAACTGCCAGGTTTACGACTGGGAATGAAGATGGGAAGCCTCTTAAATTCTCATATTTGCTGGGCTATTTTGTACTTCTTCCTAGCTTCTCATTTCCCTTTCTACAATCAACATGCTAGGGGCTTAGATAACAGCAATTCTGTTTCTGTAAAATGAGAACAGTCAATTTGATGGGGTTGTGAGGGTATTGATAAAACATTATTAAATGCTCTGCAAATTCCATGTGTCACGTACGTAATTTATAGTGTTCATAGACTGGATGACAGGGAAAAAGCAGGTTGTCTGTTTAGAAAAAGGGCAAATAGCTCAAAATGGATTCATCACTTTCCCTTCAGCATGCCATACAGAATAAACACATACAGCAGAGGTCATAAATTAATTGATTGCAATTATGTATTCCACTGAGATGCAACCGAACAACAATAAAAACTGCACACTCATCTCAGATGCAGCCCAGAACCTTAAGTGGAAGCCTGAGAAAGAGACCCCAATATCTAAAGAAATACAGCCATTTGAATTTTCCTGAAGCCATCAGGGAAAGCGGGAGCAAAAAAACCAAACAAACCAGAGATCTTTCCCAATCTAATTAAAAGATCTAGTAAATTTACCATGTGTAATTCCAGCATCCGCCTGTAAGGGATATGATTAGGAAGACTGGGGCACAGTAGGGAACAAATGACTTCAGAGAAAAAAGAGGGAGTCACAAACGTTTGCAGACCCTATGTGAGATGTAATCACCGCCATGCACCGAGATCAGTATTTAGGGAAAGCCATTAAGCTTTACTCAAATGGGTTTCTACTGGTTGCAGATGAGGTCAGTCAGTGATGGCAGATGCCTAACAGCATTAATGGGGCATGGCAGCTAATGGCAGGTGGAACCAGATGTCATTAACAGATGGAGCCAAATATTTGGCAAACCAGGAATCATGACAGATGGAACAGCTTCAAAACTTGGAGTGCAAATGAGGGTTGGGGTGATACTCTTGACCCATGCAACCTGAATGCACTTGTTTTGGGCCTGACTTGCAATCCCCATCGTACAGAATCATGAAAGTGACTAAGCTAAAGATAAAAGCAGTGTCTTCACCGTACTTGTACCTTCTCCAATAGCAATTGCACCAAAAGGCAAACGGAAACTATTGATTTTTTTCAAATAATTATACATTAAAAAATGATAATATGGGATAAGACAAGGATTGAGCTCATCCTAAATCAGAAATTGTTCCATTAAAAATTATGTTTTAAAATTAAAGCTGAAGAAGTTTCTTGGATAAGAAGCTAAAGGTCCACAAGGGGGGGGGGGGGGGCCCAATTGCCTTTTTTTGGGGGGGGGGGCATTTTTGGGACAATTATGACCTGGACTACTAAGTTTCTCCATAATTGTCTTAAAATTAAATAACTTTAAGAGTAGATGGTGCTAAGATTATAATCTTTTTCATGCTAAGACTTCCTGTTTGTCCTGATCCTATGTAAAGATTATGTTTTTGCATAATCTTTTGCTACATTTTATTCTTTCATAGTTACAATGGATTTCTTAAAATGTGTACCTTTCTCAAACAACTTGTTTTTGCTCTATAACATCTATCAGATAAAGGATGCTGCTGGATAAAATAGATTACAAGGAACAAACTGTTTTTAAGGCCCTTCTTTTCACACTGCAATCACAAGAAATGAGAACGCACAAATTACATCAAATAGTCCATAGCAACACTTCTGAAGACAAGGGTGTTAAAACGGAATTTCATACAAAATATAAATTTGGCAGGAGTGGAGAGTTAGAATTAGATAGAATGATTTAATACTGGTTTTGCTCCACACAGCCTCCTTCATCCTATCAAAAATAAAATCAGTATCAGTCCTCCCTCCTACTGGATATAATTTTTACCAACTGTGAAACAGAAAAGCTATAAGCCATCACAACTTAAAAAGAAATCTTAGAAGTTATTCTATCTTAAAATGGATTTTTATATTTCTGGGAATGAATTACAATATTTCTACAGAACCCAAAAATTCTAAGTATCTCCGTAATTTCTATTCAGCCTTGCTCTTTCTGCATTAAAGTAATTATGCCTTCTGTTTGATCAAGTTCCCATCCAAACTCTTATGTTTTTAATGAAGTGATATCAACAATGAACCAGCCAATATGTCCTCTAAAAATAAAATGGTAATAGTCTTAAAATCTGAATTATTAATTCCCAATTACTTCAATATTAAACAGTCATAAATCTGCATGAGCTGTCCTAAAATAAAAACATCAGGTATTTATAAGCTTTGCTCGCCAGCATAAATGTTTTGATCAAGGCTGCATAACACCCCTTCATCAACAGAACATTGTTCCCCTCAAGAGAAACAAACATTTCCTTGACTAAGCTGCAACTGCAAATAACAAACATAAATTTTCATCTTAAAAAAAAAAAAAAGATCAATGCTTGATTTTTAAAAACTCAGGGCCAGATGTGTTCCTCTTTCACATGCTGGAATATTATAATTTAAAGAGGAATAGGACTATGCATCTCCCATTAAATTTTAGACAGCTTTAGTCATATATGTTGGGTCTTCAGGGTGGCTATAGAAGACAGTAATGTATCTTCCAACACAGCCAGTGGTATCTACCATGCTCTTATCTACTAATTTATTTTCAAGGTAGTTTTCTTTTAAAACATAAGAAGCTAGCCAATTAAAAAACAAAATCCAAGCTTTAGATATAACCTCTACTTGCAACAATGCCTTTGGGTCTGTATAAATTGTGAGAAATAAAATAGTGGGTGATTAGTGCTTTTTTCCTTTTGATATAGGACCCTAACCCACCATTGCACCCATATCAATATGTCCTTAAATTACTAAATTGGCTTACTGGTTTGTTGGGCAGGTATCCATACAAAGGGGTTCTGTGAGGGACCAGATTGCTACATAAAAAGGTCGAGAGAGAGGGCCGATTGAATGCCCCCTTTTTTTACATGGATGTAAAAAGCAACCACATAAAGAAGGCAGAATCTCTGTTGTACGGGCATGACTGCCATCTTGGTTTCTTTTATGCTCCCCTGCAATTGTCCTTGCATACACACTAAATATAGATTTACTTTTGCAGGGTATAGCTATAGCTTATCCTTGTAAGATGTCAAATTCAGAAGAATCTCACTTTAATATCTTACAGAAGTTGCCCTTACTTTAAAAAAAAACCCACACTCTCTAGTTTCCCAAACAGGCTGCAATACATATAATGCTAAACAAAACCAGTAAGTTCTGATACATAAAAGCCCAGTCTTATTACAATGTTGAAATTAAGCACAAATTTGGTACAATTTCATCTGTTAATTTAAATGAATGCTATCATCCTCCAGGACCATGTAGTTTTCCTGTCCCTCTTTTCACCAACCACTATCCATAACCTTCTTCATAACCTTAAAGTACAGAAATTTAATTTCTCAAACAGCAAATTTCCAGGATGCTAAATTAGCTATTTCATTAAGTCTAGTTTTAGAGTCAAAGGATTAACATGGTGTTAAAACTGTCTGTTAGCATGATGGTTAAAAAGAGAGAAATTTGCAAGGCAGTGACTGAAGAACTACATAAAACAGAGGTCTCCAAGCTTGGCAACTTTAAGGCTTGTGGACTTCAACTCCCAGAATTCTGGCTGGAGAATTCTGGAAGCTGAAGTTCAGAAGTCTTAAAGTTGCCAAGTTTGGGGACCCCTGACATAAAGGAACCTTCAACTAGCAAAGAAACACATAAGAGGAGGCAAAAGCAAAGGAGGAGAAAAGTTTACTTCTCTTCCTATATTCAATAAGTATTTTATCACTAGGTATTTTGGCAGAGAGGTGAGAGAGAGAGAGGTATGTGTTCAAAAATTTTCCTCCCTCCCTCCCCACCCCCATCCATCCCTGGAAAAAGAGCCATCCAGCTCTTTAAGGGTACTAACACCCCACTACAAAATCTCTACCTTAAAAAAGTGAGGCCTACAAGTCAAAGTGGGAACCAGGCAATTTTTTGGCCTGCCACTGCCAAACGTAGACTTCCCAGGATGCTCAACTGACAGGAATCAGCAAGAAAGTTTTTCCCTATACAAATATGTCATTGTAGAAAAATTCACCTGTCAGTTTCTACTAGTA